CTCGCCGGCTGAGTGGACCACAGAGAGTGACTCAGCATAAAGGGAGGCATCCAGAGAGTCTCAGAACCCTGTCTTTGGCCATCTTTCAGGGTTGTCTACAAATAGCCTCCCACCTGGGTGGGGTTGGTGACTGGGCTGTCTGGCAGCTGGGAGCTGGGCCGTGAGGCTATTTATTTATTTATTTATTTATTTAAATCCTGGTCTGAGACTCCTTGAATTGGTCTGCCTTTTGGTTCTGGGGAAGCAAGAAAGAATCAGCGGATCCCAGGTCCCAGGTTTGCAGGGATGGGCGTTTACACTCAGCACCTCGGACCCATGATTCACGCTCTGGGGGCTCGGGCTGGCCCGCAACATGGGAAAGGCCTCAGTATCTTCCATTTGAAAAAAATTCTCTACAGTAGCATTTCCTATCATTTCTTAGGAAATCTGTGCTAACAAGTATCTCTAACCCTAAAAAGATCCGAGAAAAACATCCAGTGTGCTCTCTCACTGTTGAGAGAAGGCGCCTGCAGGTACCTTAATGGGAAACTTGATGGTGAGCACGTGCTCAAAAAGACTAAAACACCTGAATCCATTTGCTCAGGCTGTCATACAAAGTATCAAAATCTAAGTGGCCTAAACAACGAACGTTTGTCCTCTCACAGTTCTGGAGGCCAAGAAGTTCAAAATCAAGGTGCTAGCAGTGTTGGTTCCTCCTGGAAGGCTCTGAAGGAGGAGCTGCTCCTTGCTTCTTCCTCACTTCTGGTGATTCTGGGCAATCCTTCGCGTTTCTTGGCTTGTGGAAGCATTGCTCCGGTCTCTGCCTCTATCTTCTTATGGCCTTCTCTCTGTGTCTCTGTGTGTTTTTCTCCTCTTCTTATAAGGACACCAGTTATTGGATTTAGGGGTCACCTTAGTCCAGTACAGGTTGGGTATCCCTTATCCAGAAATGCTTGGGACCAGAAGTTTTTGTGTTTTGGATTTTCAATGTTTTTGAATTTTGGAATATTTGTAGAATACATACCAGCTGACCATCCTAATCCAGATATCCAAAATCTAAAATGTTCCAATCACATGTCCTTTGAGCATCATGTCAGTGCTCAAAAGTTATGGATTTGGGGGCATTTGTGATTTCAGATTTTTGGATTAGGAATGCTCAACCTATGTAACCTCATCTTAATTTAACTACTTCTGCAAAGACCCTATTGCCAAATAAGGTCATATTCTGAAGTTCCATGTGGACATGAGTTGGGGTGGAGGGATACTCCTCAACTCATCACAACATCTTTATCAGACTGAATCTTCACAATACTTGGATCTTCATTTAATAGACGAGAAAAAAGACACTCAGAGAATTCACTGACCTTGTTCAAATTCCCACAGCTGGGAAGCGGCAGAGGTGAGATGTGAACCAGGAACCTGCCTCCAAGCCCCTACCGTTGGTGCTGGGGCCTTCATAAACTATAGAGGACAGCATCAACATCACGTAAGGCAGTCCTTGGAGACCACTGGTCTACATGCCAGAAGCCTGTTAGAGTCATGACTTATTATCTCTCCATTTGACAGATGAGCAAACTAAGACCAAAGGTGGTGGGAGGGAAGACGAGTAAAGTGACTTGCTGAGATGACACAAGTGGCATGGTAGGGAACCCATGGCCTGGTCCCCAAAGTTCTCTCCCAATAATTAAACATTCTAGCTCAGTGTAAGCAGGTAAAAGGAGCCAGACACAAAAGGCACATGTTGTAGGCTCTACAGAGACAGCATCCTACAACATGTGCCTGGCTTCTTTCACAACAGGTAAATCTAGAGACAGAAAGATTAGTGGTTGCCCAAAGCCATGAGGAAGGAAGAATGGGATGTGACTGCTAATGAATATGCTATTTCTTTGGGGGATGATGAAAGTGTTCTGGAATTAGATAGTAGTGATGGTTGCATGAATCAGTTGTTAAGTAAAAGCTGAAGTGGGTGAACTGCATGGCATGTGAGTTACATCCACCAGCCTCTGGGAAGGAGATCTGCAGAAAGCAAGTATGCACAAGGCTTACGAGATTCAAAGCTTTTATTGCAGCAGGAATAGCCCAAGCCCTGGCTCATAAGCTCATCATGCAAGAAGGCACTTCAAGGACTTTTCCTGTGACAGAATTTGCACCCTCCGTTCGTCAAGGCATGAACACCCCCAAAACAGAGAGAGCTTCCAGAGCACCCCCTTTAAGAACTGCATGGCCTTGTCAAGTTACTTCCCTCTCTGGGCCTCAGTTTCCATACCATGAACCAGTGATCATGCAAACTCTCAGAGTGGTTGTGAGCATGAAATATTTTGATAGGGTCCCTTTGACCTAGGACTGTTTTGCCTCAGCCAACAAAATAAAATAAAATAAAAAACTAAAACCAGAATAAAACTCTCACGAACAAACGATTAAACTTTCAGCCATTGTTATTACCAAACCATGACCTCTGTTGCTCATCCCTGCTCCCCACCCGCATCCTTGGTGAAGGATCAGAGCTATGTAAGGGTCAGGAATTGGGTAACAAGGAGATAATGCAGCACATGGCTGGGGTCTACAAAATGGAGACGCCCCACTCTGAGTCATGAAGGCTGTACTCAAGAGGCTCCAGCACTAGCATGAATTCCGTGAGGTCATCTGGTGTCCAGTTTGCATCTCTGCATCCTGTTCGCACCCTCCCTGGCCAGGGAAGACTCAGGAGCTAGGCCCCTTGCTTGGTCCCATAAGCCCACTTGGGCTTCTTCCCATTGCGCCAGCTTGCTGGAGCCAGGGAGGGTCAGGAGTTGAGGGGCTGCTTCTGTTGCCTGGCTGGTGAGGCTCTCCCAGCCCTTTTTTTTTTTTTTTTTTTTGCCTGCTAAGAGGCCTGCTCAGGTTTCCAGGCATGTGGTTTCCCCTGGATTGCAGACTCCCTTGAGTAATTCAGGCATCTGTGAACAAAATTTCCTGGATGAGTGAGCTCCCTTAGGCACTTGTGGACAATTTTCTCCAACCTCAGGGCACTTAGTGAGGGGGTGCAGCCTGGGTGGGAAGAATGGGCACTGAAGGCAGAATGAAATATCTTCTGGGATATCTCTAGGTTCTTGCGTCCAAATGGCTGGGCCAGTAGAGAATGAGCCTGGAGCAGAGAGAAGGAGACATAGAGACGAGACAGGGGCCAGATCATGTAGGGTCTTGCAAGCCATGTTACAGCTGTAGAACCTTATTGCAAGAGGGGTGGGACACTGCAGAAGGGTTTCCCTTGGAGGATGCTCCCATCACACTCACTGCCAACGTCATCATCATCATCGTCATCATCATCATCATCAAAGCTAGTACATGTTCAGTGCCAACTATGTACCAGGCACTGTGCTAGATGCTTTCATACATTAATCCTTTTAACAATTTTATAAGGTAGATACCATTATTATCCCCATTTTACAGATGAGGAAATGTTGACTCAGAAAGAATAACTGAGGTACCCAAGACTACAGATCAAATAAGAGCCCAAGGCTGAACCACAAGTGGAATCCAGGTCTATCTAATCCCAAAGTCTTGGCTCCTGAACACAGTTCTCTATGTTTATAGCCTCCCCATGAATGTATTTGCATTCTTAAAAGACCACATTGGCTACAGAGTGGAGAATAAGAATTGGGAGATGGTAGAGGTTAGGATTGGAGGCACCCATGACAGATGATGGTTGGACATAGAAAGAAACATAGATTTAGGAAACACTTAGTGAGTAGAATCTAAAAAAGGTGCTGATCCCATTACTGGGTATATACCTAAAGGAATATAAATCATTCTATCATAAATACACATGCATATGAATGTTCATTGCAGCACTATTCACAATGGCAAAGGCATGGAATCAACTTAAATGTCCATCAATTGTAGACTGGATAAAGAAAATGCGGTACATGTACAACCATGGAATACTATGCAGCCGTAAAAAGGAATGAGATCATGTCCTCTGCGGGAACATGGATGGAGCTGGAGCCCATTATCCTTAGCGAACTAACCCAGGAACAGAAAACCAAATGCCACATGTTCTCATTTACAAGTGGGAGCTAAATGATGGGAACACATGAACACAAAGAAGGGAACAACAGACACTGGGGCCTAGTGGAGGGTGGAGGTTGGGAAGAGAGAGAGGAGCAGGAAAAATAACTAATGGGTATTAGGCTTAATGCTTGGGTGATGAAATAATCTGTACAGCAAACCCCCATGACCTAAGTTTACCTATGTAACAAACCTGCATTTGTACCCCTGAACTCAAAATAAAGGTTAAAAAAAATAAAAGAGGTGCTGACCCACTAGATGGAAGGCATGAAGGAGAAAGTACATTGAATGATGAGCCCCAGGTTTCTGGCATGGATGGATGGATGCGTGGATGGACGAGGGGCATTTATGGAGACAGACTAGACAACTTTTGTTTAATAAATGAGTGAAGGAATGAATACATGAATAATGAAGGGATCCCAAAGTGGAATGGATAATGAGTTCCCCATCGTTGGGAGTATGAAACAAGTGGCTTTCATCAGGATGTTGTAAAGGATACTCCTGATTTGAAGGGAAAGTCAAGTGGTAGGCACTCAGTAAGTCTATACTGTAGGAATAAATGATGGAATCGCTGCTGCGCCTATGATTCTAGGGCTTCATGAGGAGCTCACATGCACCTGGTGGGAACTTGGTAATGAGTTACTCCTGCAGAAATGTAAGATGGAAGGAAATATTCAAGCACTGTTAATATTTTTTTACATCTTCTTTCATAAATTTCTACTGATTGATTATATTTTAGAATGCACATCTTCATACATATTAATAAGTATACATATTGGGTATGCATAATCAATCCTTTTTTTCCTATAGCAATATACAATCCCAGAAGCTTGGAGACCACTGATCTACATGCCAGAAGCCTGTTAACAGGTTGAGCAGAAATAAATAGCACCCCTTCCCAAAGGCTTCTGAGTGTGCAAGGCAGTGTCCCAGGGACCAAACTCGGAGGTTTTGGGAGTTGTAACAAATGCTAGAGCTATGCAAAAACTTCATCCATTTATTATGCAGTACAGAAAAGACACATGTTTACATGATTCATCCATTTTCTCATTCGGATGTGAAATGCTTCCCGTTTACAACATAACAGCTCTTTGAGTCTTTCACAGGGTAGATGTTTTTTATCAGGGCATCTACACCATGCATAGGGCAGCTCTTCTCCCGCAGACTCAGTTGCCCCTCAGACCAGGTGTGGATCCCCACATGGCCATTGGGATAGAGCTCTGCTTCTAAGAGAGTCTCAGACCATCATGTGCTCTGCTGATGAATGATTGCCCTGTGTGAAAAAACACAGCCTCTTTTTTTTTTTTACATTCATCATGTATGGCACAGTTTGACTTCATTCTAATACTAAATGGTTTTTACTTCTTCTTTCACCTGTTTTCTTTCTCCAGGTATTTATTGGGGCAGAGGCATGTGGGTGGTGGGAAGAAAGAGTGGGTTGGGGGTAAGGAGGGAATCTTTTTTTGACACTTTTGCTTTAAAATTCAGAGTTGAATTGGTCAGGATTTATGGGCTCTTTGCCATGTAAATTTTTCTCATTCTCCAGGTTCTAACCCTCCAGGTTCTTTCCCTCCAGGTTCTAGCCCGTCTAAGTTCTAGCCCGCCAGGTTCTAGCCTGCCAGGTTCTAGTCTGCCAGGTTCTAGCTCTCCAGGTTCTAGCCCTCCAGATTTTAGCTTTCCAGATTCTAGCTCTCCAGGTTCTAGCTTTCCAGATTCTAGCCCTTCTACATTCTAGCCCACCAGGTTCTAGCCCTTCTAGGTTCTAGCCCTCCAGGTTCTAGCTCTCTAGGTTCTAGACTAAGTTCTAGCCCTTCAGGTTCCAGCTCTCCAGGTTCTAGCGCATCAGATTCTAACCCTCCAGATCCTAGCTCTCCAGATTCTAGCCCTTCAGGTTCTAGCCCTCCAGGTTCTAGCTCTCCAGATTCCAGCCCTTCAGGCTCTAGATCTCCAGGTTTTAGCCCTCCAGTTTCTAGCTCTCCGGGTTTTAGCTTCTCTAGGTTCTAGCCTCTCTAGGTTCTAGCCTTCCAGGTTCTTTCCCTCCAGGTTCTAGCCCTCCAGCTTCTAGCTCTCCAGGTTATAGCCTTTCCAGATTTTAGCTTCTTTAGGTTCTAGCCCCTCTAGGTTCTAGCCTCTCCAGGTTCTAGCCCTCCAGGTTCTAGTTCTCCAGGTTCTAGCTCTCCAACCAGCTAATAAATATTCATGTATCAAGTGAATGAGTGCTGCCCTGGCACTGCTGATGGTGAATGCCATTGCCATTCCTACTCACACTCTTCTAGGGCTTGTACTGGGATACCTTCCAATAAACCATTGATTGACAGGAGCAATCCCTTGGTTGCTGAGAGAGGAACAGTCCCTGAGCAGGCCTGCACTCTCCCCCTCCCCAGGTACCCGTTGGTGGTGGGAGTCTCAGCACTGTGATCCTCTGGGCAAGACCGATTAGAAATTTCTTCCTCTGCCTCATCACAAATCAAACTTTGAAGACATGGCCTTCTCCCCAAATGCTCATGTGTGCGTGGCAGTTGGGGGCTCAGGGTGGTGGGGAGGACAGGTGGAAGGGAGCCAATGAGCACTTACTGTGTGCCAGACACTGGTACTTCACACTGCCACCGGCTCCCAATACTGATTCTGCTCCACGGAGCTATTTCTAAACCTCAGTGTCTTTTCCTTATAGTAAACATATCCCAGTTACATGTGCATAATAATGCCTCACATGTACATAGCACCCTTTGCTTTTCAAAGTACTTTTATACCTGTTACTGCCTTTAATCCTCACAACGACTTCATGTTACAGAAGAGGGAACTGAGGCAGGGACAGGTGGTTGTGCAATAGTTATTGGTTGAGCTGGAACCTTGGGCTCTCCCTTTCTGCTGTCCATATCACCCACAGCACCATGCTCAACCATCTCATCTAACAGCTTTCTGGCGGTGGCAGTGCCCAGTCATTCCCAGTCGAGTCTTTGAGTTCCTTCAAGATGGAGATGGCTCCTTCTCTTTCTTCCCTCTTGCCTCCAGTGCTCAATATTGCTTATACAGCAAGTGCTCAATATGTGCTTATTGGATTCTTCTTTGGCACAGACCACCTTGTCCATCAGTGAGGGGTGCCACAGAATCCTGGTCTCCAGGTTCTTATCAGGGACCCCTCAGGGCTTAACCTTCATTAATGCAAGAAATTGTCCTCCAAAGTTCTAGCTGAATGGATTAAAGAAACCCAGGGCAACAATTCACTTGTGCACTCAGCCATTGCACCAAAGCTGGATGGTGGTTCTCCTGGAGATCTAAGTTGTCTTGCTGGGGCAGGGAGGGACACCATGTGGGAGGGAAGCTCAGTCACTCCTGTCCCTGTCCCCAGGCCCCCTCCACTCCTGGGAAGGAGCAGGCTGGCTCAGGTGTGGCAGCAAATAAGAACAGTAATGCTGTCGTGTTTATGGAGTCCTCGGCTGTGCATGAGTTCACCCCATCCTCATAGCCATGCTCCCTGCAAAATTGGGCAGGGCAGGAATTATTCTCCTGTGTTTTACTGGAGACACCAACTCATTTCCCAAGGTCATGCATGGATGTCCCCATGGCATTCCTGGGCCCATGCTGAAAAGCAACTGTCCCTCAATCCTTAACACAAATTCACAGCAGCCCTGCTGGCGTTTGCTCACTGTCTGCTCCCTGCCCAGTCCTGCAGTTTGTGAATCTGGCGTTCCACCGAGATGGAGGTCCGCAGTGTGCCCATGGAGTTCTCCATCTGAATGGATTCTGACCTACAGCCCCCTTTCTGGCACACTCCCTGGTACACCTCCCAAGACTTCTTTCGGAAGCGCTTGCCCACAATCACATACACCAGTGGGTTGAGGCAGCTGTTGCTGTAGGCCATGAAGGAGGCGATCTGTGTGATTACATCGATGATGTGCTCGTCCCGGCAGCTGGCGAGGATGCCGAGGCGATGCAGCGTGTCCAGGAAGGTGCTGACCTGGAAGGGCAGCCAGCAGATGACGAATAGCAGCAGCACAACCAGGACCAGCACCGTGGCCCTCCTCTCTGTCTGGATCTCCTTGAACTTCTGCATCTCGTTGTTCCGCAGCACCTGCATGATCTGCATCGTGCAGAAGGTGATGACGCTCAGGGGCAGCAGGAAGCCCACGATATTCAGGAGCATGTTGGTGAACACTTCCCAGACGAGGGATGGGTAGCTGATGACGCAAGCAGTGACGTTGTGGCCCTCGTCACTGTACTCCTTCATGGTCCGGAACACCAGCATGGGTGAGCTCAGGAGCAGCGTGCATGCCCAGATCACCAAGCTGTAGAGCTTGGCCCAGCGCACACCGCGCATCCGGCCCATGGACATGGTTTTCACCAGGGCCAGGTAGCGGTCGATGCTCACCAGCATCAGGAAACAGATGCTGCTGTACAGGTTCATGGAGATAATGGCATTCACCACACGGCAGAGCGTCTCCCCAAAGAGCCAGTCGAAGTTGTTGGAGATGGTGATGGCCCAGAAGGGCAACCCGCAGGCCAGGATCAGGTCTGCTGCGGCCAGGTTCCCCAGGTAGATCTCTGCCACCGTGCAGCTGCTCCTGTGCAGGCAGAAGACGCTGAGGACAAAGATGTTCTCTAGGGTGGCCAGCACGAACAGCACCCAGAGGAAGGGGGCCTGGATGGTGTTGAGCCAGCTCAGCCACTCCACTTGGGGGCATTTGCTCTGGGCAAAGGTCCCGTTAAGAGCTGGCAATTGCAAGGTGACATTGAGCATGTCGGCGCTGAAAGAAAAGTAGAAAAGAGGCTGTTACCCCTCAGGGTCACAAGGGAAGGACAAAAACTGGTGCAGAAGGAGGCAGGGGTTAAAGACAACCAGCCAGGATGTGGAGAAGTCGAGGTGGAGCTCAGGCTGCTTTCTGCGGCCAGCACTTCGGCGCACCTGACTCCCCTGGGTCTTACAGAGCCCCCTCTGATCCTTGGATCTAAATGGGGCCTCATGTTCTTCATCTCAAGGCTCCACTGGCATATTTCCTTGGCCAGCATCCATCAACAGCACTAACAATCTCAAGTCTTGGACCCTTGACCTCCTTGAAGCTTCCATGATGGGAGGATTCACATTCCTTCCTTATCATCTGGGCCCCTCCCAAGGGAGTTGGTCACCTTTCAGCCTCTCAAAGTCCTGTGATGGGTGAGTTAATTCATTAAAAGAGAAAAATGATATCATGCCAGACCTGGAGATTCCAGTCTGGCTTAGAGACCAAGGCCAGCCTATCTGCTTAGTTCCTGTCTTCCTGGATGGTGTGGGGTGGCATCATATTTCTGTACCTTCTATCAGCAAAGCACTGAAGAGAATAGGAGGATGCAGATAGCGAAGGAGGGTGGGGACTTTGGAGCCAGATAGTCCTACTGGGTTCACATCCTGGCTGCCTTACTTATAAGCTGTGTGATATTGGGGAAGTTACTTAACGTCCTTGAACCACAATGACCTCACCTGTAAAATGGGAATTTAAAAATCTCCCTCTCAGGGTTGGGATGGGGATCTGAGACAATGTACAAAATGCCCCAAACACTGCACTTGGCTCAGTAAACATTAGTAATTAACTATTCTTGCAAACCTATTAAAATAACCAGTGGTAAACTCCAACACTACCGTTTGTTGGTGACCCCATCTTTAATCTACTGGCTCCTCTTTCATTCTTAGGTGAGACTCACAGACCACAGGGCAGGTACCTTTCTAGACTTGTTGCTGTAAATCATCTCTACCTTCAGCAGAGGCATAGGGCTTGGACAGACCTGGGTTCCAATCCTAGCTGTGTGATCTTGGGCAAATTGCTTGACGTCTCTGGGCTTCTATTTTGCCTTCTTGGGAGTGGGGTATTGCTCTCATCCTGACTCGCTTTGCATTTCTTTTTACATGGTTGTTGCAAGATTCAAGTCAAAGAGTGGATGTGAAGACACACTTAAAAGTCCAAAGCACAACCCAGAGGACAGGACTCACTGGGCATTTTCCCAGTGCCCTGTGGTGTGGGTGAGAGAAGGAAAAGGTGCTCTTTCTGGGAGGTGCATTGCTAGACAGGCTCATGGAGGAAGAGCTGAGCTACAAGTCATGAGGAGATACTGATCATCACCTCTGGGATTTCCCAGGAAAATTCCCTTTGCTTCTAGGAGCAGCTGGCTGGCATCCTGGAGCCAGACTGGGGGACCCGCAAAGCAATGCTTTTAACCTTTCAATGTTTTTGGAGCATCTGCTCTGTGCTGAGCTCTGCCTTGAGTGCAAAAACACAGAGAGGATACCACCCGGCCCCTGCCCTGCCTGACTCCTGACAACTGGGGCCCAGAGTGTGGAGGGTGCCCTGGAGGGAGCAGGAGAGATGTGGGACACAGACTTGGAGTAGGGGCAGGTGGGTAAGGTTGGAGGTGACTCTAGAGCTGGGTCTTGAAGGATAAGAAGCATCTCGACAGGGCACAAGAAGGAGGACAAGCAGACCAGGCAGGGGGAACAGCCTGAGCAGAGGCACAGAACTGGGGAAGCTGTTGGTATGTTCTGGAAAGTGACACTAGATGTTGGACAGGAGAGGTGAGAAGTAGCAAGGGGCTGAGTGAGGAAGTAAGTGTGGTCTTCACTGGGTGCTAAGGAAGTGAGGCTTTGCCCCTGAATCTTCAGGGACTACAGTGTTGGTATAAGAAGTATACTCTGAAAAGATCCCTGTGGTGCCTGGTGACTTTCATCTGCCCCCAAATTACTTGATATTCTTCCTTTCAAAAGGAGGAATCTGCTTCCTCTTCTCCTGGATGTGGGCTGGACTTCTTACCAATGGTGGCGGGGATGGTGTGTGATTTCTGAGGCTAAGTCATAACATCCTTTGCAGCTTTTTTCTTGGCCTCTTGCATTGCTTACTTGGAAGGATGTGAGCCGCCATGTGAGGATACTCAAGCAGCCACAGAGCGGGGAACCAAGTTGCCACCTTGAAAGTGGATCCTCTGGCCCCAGTTAAGCTTTCAGTGGATCCTGGTTTCCCAGCCTTTGAGTCTTCCAACCAAGGCCCCAGATATCTTGGAACAGAGATAAACTGTCTCTACTGGGCTCTGAATTCTTGAGCCATGAAAACTTGCAGCCTCCTTTCCAGAGTCCTCTGAAGGTAAGATTTCCCCTGGGTAGTCCCCTTGGTCCAAGCCTCAACCCCATTTCTGTAACTACAGAAAACCCATTTCCTCCATACCCCTGGCTTGGGGAATCAATCATCTCTCATAGGCTAACTCACTAGAGACCAAAGTATAGCACTAGATGCTGCTTATTAATTTCTCAGCAAGACAATTGATAGCCAAGGGGATGGATCCTGGCCCATCCCTGGCTCTGAGAAGCCATAGGATCATCAAAAAGATGCCTGGTGAGTGCAGAATTGGAAACTATAGGTCCAGTGCACTGTGGCCTCAGCTGAGATGGCCATCTGCTCACCTTCATCATAGGCCGCACCTGCCACAAGACGGAGAGGTTGGAGTGGACCCCTCAGCCTTGTTTCTTGCAAATGCTGCCTCCCAGAACAGATCTCCCTATCCTCTGTTTCTACTCTGGCTCAGGTCTCCCTCCCCCTCCCCTTAAATTCTCTCTTAAATTGTTCTGATCTTCCACCAGATGTCAGCCATATATTGGAGATAGTTTGTCTCCAAGGCAACCTGGCACATTGCTGTCTGACCTGCTGGGTATTGACTTCAATGTTTAACTCTCTTACCTTCACTTCCAAGTTCATCTGGGATAGATCACATATGACAACCAGGAATGTGTCCTTCTCCTCCCTGAGCCCCTCTTCCTCTAGTTCCACAGAACATTCCCTCTGGCCTACATTCCCGACAGGCCTACAGGGACTTGAACACTTGAGAGGTTTTGTCTTTGGGCTTTAACATCACTGGTTCCTTCAACTGTTGTCCAGGGCATGAGGGTTGAGCTTTCCAGGGAGTTCTCCAGGGTGTCTGCCCCCTACCCCTAACTAGTGAACTGAGGAATCCCTTTGACTCACCTGAAAGAGGCCGTGGTGGGCATGGAGTCCTCACGAACAGACAAAAACATTGGTGTCTTCCAGGGAGAGAACATTCGGACTCAGAGGGGGATGTGAGCGAGGCCACACCTGGGCTGAACAGAGAAGAAAAGATGGTTAGATGGCACAGGGGCTGGGGACTGCAAAATACACGCATTCTCCAGCAGGGAAGAGAAGTGGAGACTGCTGAGTCCCTGACTCAATGCACATTTGTGAAGTGCTCCCACACAGTGGTGCTAGGGACACAATGGAGAGGAGCTGACAGTCTACTGGAGAAGCCAGACATTGCTCACTTAATAACTGCAACTGACCTAAGTACAGTGAAATCAAGCAAAAGGTTCTGTGACTGCATAGAACACGGGGTCCCAAAATCGCCTGCGAGGGCGAGTGGATATTGATGATAACACTGAGGGTGAGCAGAACTAAGCAGGGTGGAGGGATGAGGGTGCAGGAGGATATCTCAGTCAGGAAGGCACTTGGTGTGAATGTGGATTAGGCCCTGGCCGCTGCTCAGGGAGTCGGGATTGCAGTGGGGGTAGAGTGGAAGCAGGGCCCAGTTAGCCCATTAACTTAGGCCTGGGATGATGGAGGCTGAGAGGCTGGATTCCAGGGGAGTTTAGAAGGTACGCCTGACATGGCTAGTGCTCGATTGGACATGGATGGGGTGAGGACAGGAGCGAGGCAGGTTTTGTGGCTTCTATCTCCTGCAAAGGCAGAGATGGGGGCTGATTTAGTGGAGAAAGATCATGTATTTAGACTGGAAGCTGTTAGAGGGGAGGTTTTTTGGAGAATTCTAGGCGGATGGGGATGGGAATGGCTGTTGGGTACAGCAGGGTCTGGAGCTCAGAGGAGGGGTCTGGACTGGAGCACTGTGATGGAGACAGGGTCTTGAGGGACTTTGAGCCTAATGAGGGAGACAGACACAGCTGAGTATTTCCAGTCCCTTGGGCTGGTTACCGATACAAGGTGCTGTCAAGTTCTCAGCCCAGGGCCTCCTCTGTGCCCTGGTTGAAAGGGCCTTTTTGCCCAAGGGGCTTCCATTGATGACCCCTGTCTCTATCCCTCTTCAAGTTTCACATCACTCCCATCCAGGGAGCGAGGCATGGGCTCTGTGCTTGCCTCAGAGAGGAGGAAACGAGGCATAGACGGGTGGGGGTGACTTGTCTCAGTCCCATGGCTAGAGGTGGGGCTTAACCCCCTCTCTTTCCATTCCAGACTTCACACCCTCTCCAGGATACTAAGTGACCCCTGTCTAGGAAGGCTGTGGAAAGCTGTGGTCTATGCATGTGCAAGTGTGTGAGTGCATGTGTGTGGAAAGCTGTGGTCTACGCATGTGCAAGTGTGTGAGTGCATGTGTGTGTGTGCATATGTGCTTGTGTAGGGGTGTGTGTGTGTGTGTGTGTGTGTGTGCATGAATGTAGCCACAGATCTGCCATACCTCGGCTTTCAGCCACTCTGCAACACCCGGCACCTGGGTTTCCAGAAGCCCAGCTCCCCTAATTCAGTTGGGCGGTAGAGATCAGAGAATGTTCAGTTCAGGGAATTCAAACACATTAAAACAAAAAGCTGAGTTGGTAAACAGGAAATGAAGTGGGAGGTAATTAACACCCGGAAAAGATTTGCACGAACCGCTAAGCAGAGCTGGGATCAGGGTTTGGAACTTGCAAAGGATGCAATGAGCAGCACTGTCCTTCTGATTCTTCAAGGCAGGGAGTCTGCAGGGGGAAAGGAAGACCTAGGAGTTTTCCTCTCTGAGAGGCCCTCCTGGGCTCATGGAGACAAAATTCAATGGTCGTGAGAGGTTATG